TAGGAGCTTTCTAGCATTAGGCGGTATGCATGAAAAAGTTGAAGGCGGAGTTTGCAATGGAAAAACAGCCTACTGAAAATCAAATCAGTTGGCGAAAATGTGGGCGATATGCGGCGCGAGCGGCGCGGGTATGGGCCTTCTGGGCTGCTAGGAGCGTTCCTTCTCTGTGAAACCCTCATCGTCTCGCACTGTTGGGGCCCACCTAATGTTCCACTCCCACATTGTCGTGAAATCCTCCTTCAAGAGTTGAAGGCAGTGTGGCCTCGAGGACACTTCTAGTTATTATTTCCTTACACTTTTTACTTTGCAGGAGCGACACCTCAGCATCTTCAGCAGCACATGGACGCACAGCGGTTTGCATCTGCGAACTCTTCATGTGAGTTTCATAAAAAGTTGACAAGTTTGGTATTTTTCGAGGTGCTGTGCTTGCAGCGAACAACTCGCCAATCCCAGTCCACCTGCAGCAGCAACAATTTTCTCAAAATGTGGAAGAGTGGTGATCGTCAAGCCCCTCCCACTTGCACAGCAGAAATTGTATCATCGCAACCCAAAGGAATTTATGAGCAAACACCTTTTTGTTGGTATTTTACGCATATAGTGCTTTCATTTCCATAGCTAGAACTTGATGCCGCTCCGTTTTCAGCACATACCGATGGTAGTTATTCTGGACAATCTCCTTTCTCAGTAGGCGTAATGCAGCCTGTCGGTAATATGCCAAGCAATAATGAACAGCTATCTGCACACGAAAGTGGGAACATAACGGAAAACTTATTCATTCAGTAGAAATAGCTGTTTTGCTCCTCTTAGTGCGGTTGACTTGTACAATCCTTCATCTGTTTCAGATGCTCAGCAGCAGCAGCAAGGTTGGATGTGATCGTTGTTGATTTTTATTCCACGTTGTTGTGTTGTCATTGTAATGCTTGTGTTTTGATTGTTCGTATTGCTCAGCAGGCATTTTAAGCACACCATTTCAACATTTTTTCTGTTGGATTGAACTGTCGTAGATTACCTCTGTTGTTTTAGGCACCTTCGATCCATTTTCGACGCAGCAAGGACAAGCTAAAATAGGAAGCGATATTGACTCTGCGCTCTCAAATCTTGCAGATAACCTTTCCATAAGTGGAAATAATCAGGGGTGAGCCTTTTACACCTACAATTGTCTCATACATACAGTGTCTTAGGTATCTTGGACAATTCCAGGTTAGAGTGAACCTCACTATGTTCATTTTAGGCGCCCTGTCCAATGGGGTGGACCACAACAGCAAGGGCCAGGACAGATGCAGATTCCTTCCTCGGTCACCGCTCCATCTGTAGGAGCTCCACCAATGGCTTCATATGGACAACCACCACAGTACACTACTCCATTCGGACAATACGCTCCTCAAGGTTATCCCGGCGGACACATGCCACAATGGCAGGTTCAGCCACATGGTGAGCTGTCAAACAAAAGCCTCAGAAAATGTCGATCTTGTTATAATTATATTCCACAGGAACAAAATGAAAATCTTAAAAATCAATAAATTTCAGTATTTCCTGCACCCCAACACCCTCAGGGTGCGCCATCCGGTTATCCTGTCTACGGAGGAGCTCCTATGGGGTACGGACAAGTGGCACAACCTCATCCTCAATCGGGGCAAGATCCTTTTGGATTCTAAGCCAAATGCCTTGCTCTTGATTTAAATCTTCTGCTTCAAGTGGCACATTCGTTTCGTATTTGGAGGTTATATAGGTAAGAACGATGATTTCTTCCCACGATAAGTTCGACCTCCATGCGGTTCGTGTCGCTCACGAGCTAAATGCCCTCCATACAAATGAATGTGTCTCCAAATTGTTCGATTGAGTATGTTTTTCGTTCCTTTGTAATCTACGTCCAATATGCCCGCAGATTTCGGTGTGTTAGAGTTTTTCTAGATTGAGGCATAATACGAGATAAGCCGAATTATTTTCACGATAGAGAAACTGTATTGAATATCTCGAGAGGCATGTCTGTTTTTCCCCACGCCGGTTTGGTAGTAATCAAGGATCTGGACTAGCACAACTTGAATAGTGAACACTTAATTTGTGGGCTATCAAGCGGGCGTCCAGAGCTGAGATTCCTAGTGCAGGAGTTGCTGCTACATTATTTTTTCAGTGTTATGGCTAAGGCTCTCGAAGTATTTTATACTTGTTCCAAATGTAGAAGACTAGAAGATTTTGTGTTGCGCTTCTACTTATTTATTAATATTGATCATTTTCGCTTATTTTAGATTAACATTTACTTCCTTTGTGTATGGCACTGGATGCATGTTGTGAAGTCATGGTAGATTTATAGTGAATTCGTTGTTCTGTACAATGCCGGAATTGTGTATATTAGCCATAGAAAAAGAGTAGTTTTGCGAATATTTATTATAAATATCCAGTAAAGGAAGAAGGAACTGAAGCGCATGTGGAACAGATTTATGTATGCCCAGGGATTGCAATTTTCCCTCGTCTCAGTTCCTTTTTCTGTATTGGTTTATGAACAGCAGTTCTTTATTTATTGGTGGTCAATGTGTTCTGATATTCCGAGTTTTCCGTCTGCAAATTCTAATGAATATTTATGAATGCTATTTATGTTTTCTGTTGTGCTGAAAAAATGAGAGAGGGGTCGAAATGTCTCGTTCGTATTGCGTTCATCAAATTAATAACCTCTAAATCATGTAATGTAATGCTGGATCATCTTGTATCGCCTCTTGTTTTAGCTTCCAGAACTTTGCTAGGTGTATAGGGTGGCGCGGAATTTATTCGTAATCTTTCTTTCCAAAATATTCCGTTGGCCAATTACTGGTTTGAAAAAGAAGAAAAAAATGTTATCCAAGTTCGGCGAGGACGCCTGGTTGTAGCGCGATTAGACAGTCGTCACACTCGGCGGACAAGCGATGGAGCGACGCGATCGCTCCATCGCTTGTCCGTCGCCGAGTGTAACGGCGGTCTTACGCTGCTAGCAAGCTAGCAGAGAGGTGGACTAAGAGCCTAGCGATTCGAGGCTCATAGTTTCTCTAATGGTTAGAGCCGTGCACAAGATTGAAAGCAATGGAACGAAGAACCACGTTCAAAGTAAGGTAGGAGAATGGGGACAAACTAGCAACTTCCGATGCGTTCAGGTATAGAGGAAGACTGACTAGGAATATGAGGGGCTTGAATAAGAGAGCCGAAAAACTCGAAATTTTTCGGAAATCTGCTCAAATGGTAGTAAAAAACAAAATGGAATTGGAGGTTTTGCTTATCAAATGGAAAGTTCATATTCGGTCAGACAGTAAGATGGAAGAAAAATTGTGTATTACAGTTTTCAGAGGTACGATTTAGACGTGCTGTGGTGGAGGATATTAAAAAAAACTCACTTATTTGGCCGGCTCGAAAACATTATACGAAGTTATCTCGAGCTTTTTATCCCATCTCCCACGAACATTAGTAAATAGAAGGTTTAGAAACACTAGTAATTGAAACCCGCAAGAGATCATTCCTTGAAGGTTTCAGGAATTGAGACTGTTGAAAAAAGGGGGGTCGTGGTTGGCGGTAGGGGGCTGTATCGGACGGGATTCTTCGAAATTTTGGGTATTCCAGATAGTAAGTATGAAGTGGTTGAAATTTGAGGATTCGCTGTTAAACAAATTATCCCGGGCGCCGGAGTCGTATCGAGACCGTCCTTGAGGAGAGGGGTCGTAAAAATTTCAAAATCTGCGCAACGCACGGTTGACTGCTCCCAACTAGGTTACAAGGCTTCTGTCAACCAAAGGGTGAGAGCGTAGCTGGAAAAGCACACACTTTGTGTCTTATTGGGACTAAGCCTTTTGAAGAAGATAAAGAAAGAGGAGATGCTGTGATAGTGTGCACTTGTGAGAGCTCCCAGACATCACTACAAAACGCTGAACCGCCAAGGCTCACGGTTGACAGATGTCCTGAGGCCCTCCCAACTATACTTGGGCCATTCGACTATTGGGGTGCGGTCATACTTTGCGCACGTCTTGCTGTTCGAGTGTGCAGTAGATGCTGCGATCGAATGCTAGATTCATATCTGCTCCACATCGAACTGCGAATGAAGTGCAGGGCAGTCGCAAAGTATGACCGCATCCTTAGTCAGCACCCTTAACACTGTCCACTGGCGCTGAGCAACTGGTGATTTGTGCATGATGGTGCTTCAGCGAAGCAGATTCGTGTTCTCTACGGAGGGACTAGGACTCTCGTAGTCCTTGATTCCCTGACAGGCGCTTCCCTTGATAAAGTGCTCTTGTTACAACCAGTTCGCTCGTGTACTTTGTTCTCTGTTTTGCTTGCTGCCACTTTGTGTTGGGTTGGCCCTCTCCGGGATTTTTTTCTCTCCATTCATGTTTCCCAAGAGGTTGTTTAGTTTTGCACAAGTGCATTCCAAATAGGGACTACCCAGAGAAAACATTTTGATAGTTGGAAGTTATTCTGCTATGCCTATACTCTATGCTGGTCATTCTGTTTTGCTCGACAACAATAACTTCATTCCTTTGTCTTTATTTTTCTTGGCAATCATGATGTAAGCTAATCAACAAGAAACTGATTTCGATACGTCTTTTAGTTCAACGGAAAGTTTTGTCCCTTTGAACGATTTTTTTTTCGTCATTGCTAGCGAAAGCAATCGATTGTTGTTTTGCTTTGGTTAATAAACACGGAGAACTGAGAAAGCAGACACAATAGTCGCTTTTTTGCATTACGATTACGATTCGATGTACGGTTACAGTGATAAGGGGTAAGCAGTTAGGTTTTACAGCGTGACAAGGAGATTGAAGTAGGAAAAGGGAGAAATAGGGACTGTTTTGCAGGGTGATTAGAGTGAAGAAGCGGAAAAGTATCCCAAGTCTCAAGATGCCTTTGGCTTCGGGCAAAACACCTCATACGTAGCATCAGGCTGCTCTGAAAGGAAGCGTGAAAGAGGAGGTGCGGGTTCGATTCAAACCTGGGCAAAAGTATTTTGCCTATGACTCATCATCCTTGTATGGGAATTTGCTGGATAAAAACATCAGTTCAACAGTCAATAATAAGAGAAATGAAATATCAAAAAAGTGTAGAAGAGATGGTACAGTGTGTCAATAGAATGAACAAGGAATATAATGAATGAAAGAGAGGTAAACAATCACGAATCTCACAATATAAGTTGAGTTCCGAGGCTGAGTTGAATTTCTTGAGTACTTCTGTTCTCAGTCAAGATCTGATTATCCTCATTTTTTTCAAATGTTCCGCGGGCGCGTTCATAGTCGATCGTCCGATCGTAACGATCGTAACGATCGCACAGCATTGGATGAGATCGATCATCAGACGTGTCGAGGATTGGACGTCGATACGTATCTATGGCTGTCGATCGGCAACGCTAGACCGACGTCATAGTCGGCGACGGACCAAGCGATGGAGCGATCGCGATCGCTCCATCGCTTGTCCGTCGCTTGCCAATCGCTCTTGGTCGAGCGATTGGCAAGCGATTGCGCAATCGCTTGCAAAGTGCACAAGCGACGGGCAATGGCTCTGCTCGATCGATACCGCAGCCGACTGCATTGACTGGGGGCGGGGCCAATCGCCCGTCGCTTGTGCACATTGCGCAATCGCTTGCCAATCGCTCGACCGAGAGCGATTGGCAAGCGACGGACAAGCGATGGAGCGATCGCGATCGCTCCATCGCTTGGTCCGTCGCCGACTATGACGTCGGTCTTTACGGAATGAAGCTTTGAGATCCGGCTCCCGAGCTTGCTGTCATGGCAGTTTTCTCACTGCCCCTCTGTTGAAGAATTCAAGCATTGCTCATAGTAACGATGTCAATAATGTGGTATAACAGAGCCCTGTTTAGCCACGGCGTACGTAGATTCCGGGCTAGTAACAAAGGTACGCTGGGAAAATGCGCTGTGGTACAACGTGGAAATTCTAAGTTTCAGCTCAACTTCAAGGAAAGATGTCGTCTGCGGTCGGTTCCTTCACCTTCGAAAAGTCTCATCTCGGTTATCTTCGAGCCATGTAAGCTAACTGATGGTGGATCTTTTGTAGATAATCTTGAATTCGATAATGAGAATACTTCGCAGATAACGCCGGAGCTGGCAGCAATTCTTCATAAATGGCCGGGAGGTCAGGTCGAACTTGAATCCAAGGGAGATGTTGCACGACTTCGGCTGAATAGGCCGGAGAAAAGCAACTGCTTGTCGGGAGAGATGATGTTTCAACTTGGTGAGAGAGTACAGGTATGTTATCGTGTTTCCTCTTAGATTACTCTTTTTGGCTCCGTTCTACAAATTCACTGAAGAAAATACCTATTTCAGTTTCTTCTAACTGCAGTTATTAATTTGCCTATGGTTGTAGCTTTGAAAAAACTTGTTTTAGCCGCGGAGATTCTATGTGGAATATAAATGCCGAAGAATGGCCGAGGCGGGTGTCAGAGTCCGCGATGCGTCGCGCGATCGCGCAGGCGCATCGCGTTGACTTCTGACACCCGCCTAGGCCGTAATACTTTGACTTTGCGTTTAGCACTGCGACCAAAAGTGTCTAGGTAATCAAGTTGAGCTATAGAGAAGAATCATAGAAAGATCCGCCGATGGGACGGCTTCCACTGATTAAGCTGCAGCTAACCTTACGGTGATTGGATCTAATCACAACCTGTATTGCGAGCTGCAAGCCTTTCCTTTTATGCAGGAACTGACAACATTGTCCTGTGGTGTGCTGGTTGTCGAAGGAGCTGGGGGATCATTTTGCAGCGGAGGCGATCTTGGATTAATTGATGAGGTAGTTGTGATTGCTTACAGGTTGTATACTTCAAAATCTTCTCAAATTCGATAACCCACTATTAAAACAATGGTCTGCTAGAGTGATCATGGCCAATATTTTGTCTCCCCTTCTTTGTGTCTCCCAATTTCCAGTAATGAATACGTCGTGGACAAGTGCTGCCATATTACTTACTTTTCTATGCCCTTACATGAGTCTTTCTCATGTGATAAATATATGTGTCTGTGTTCCTCTCCTTCGAATTGAGTGAGAAAGGGAACCTCTGGGACAATTCAAAGCATTAATGAAGCAATCTTCTTAGGAACTCTCCAATTTGAGAAATTTTCACGTACAGAGATTAAAAGTATGAATTTTGGCACAGCAAGCTTGGCGAGATATTAAGAGGTGGACATTTCGAAATCCTTTCTGGCAGTTTCAACGGATTTTATTATTTCTGATCGCCTTTTACTTATCTGAACGCATACTTCTCTTTAAACCCGCGACAGTTTAAGTTGTTTTTTTCGTTCTTTGTAGGTACGTGTTGTGGAAGACGAATCTAAATGGGCACAAATGCGAAACGGCAGTAACTCTTTTTTTGCTTTTTCGATTTCCATATTTTTTCAGCTATGCAATAATTCGCTTGGGCCAGCCATGTTTCGTTTCATGTCCTCTTCCTTGGCCGCGATCCGTTCATCTCCGCTAGTAAGTCGTGAACTTGTTGTAAATAAAACAGCGCTGTGAGTGTACCTCATGCGAGTACAAATAGCGCACTCCTTACGGCGTTAGCAGATTTTTATGTTCGAGTGTCATAGTATTTAGTTTCCGTGGGAGGCATGTCGTAATTGCAGACATAGTGACACATGTAGTGACAGCATCGAGAAAATCAATATCGTGCGTGTGTGTATCTCGCGCGAGAAGCAAGATCTAAGGTAGATGCCAGACTTCGCGAACGTTAATTGCCTAGCCTGACACCCACTTAGACCGTGTTGTCGTAGAATATATTTGAGCCGGTGATTGAATAATTTCAGAGGCGATTCCAGCGTGAACAATATAAGAATGTGTGGAGCTATCTGATTTTCACAATTATAGATCTAACTTTCTTTGGCTGATATAAACTCTGCGCAATGAATGAGGAGTTAGTTGTATATGTGCTTAAGATTAGCTATGCAGGTGAGCGTTGCTCGAATTCATGGACACTGTCTGGGTGGAGGAACCGAAATAGCATCACCGTGTGATATCCGGTTGGCGCACAAAGATGCCAAAGTGTGTACGGTTTTTTATTATTTAGTTCTCTACTCTCAACTAGTTGGTGTTCTAAATGACGTTATAGATTGGATTCATGCAATCCAGGTTGGGAATCGTTCCGTCATGGGGTGGAGCGAACTTCCTAGCGCCTATTGTCGGTCGAAGCGTGGCCATACGTCTTTTGACTACAGCGGCGATGCTAACTGCCTCTGAGGCGAAGGATATCGGCTTCGTCGACGTTGTGTATGAATCCGACGAGGAATTCGAGGTACGCATTTGCTCCACTGAAAAATGCCTTCGTCGAAAACCAAACGTCTTGCAGAAATTCATTTCGTCTATGCTGAAAAGTGGACCGGATGTATGTCGAGCTCAGAAGGCTATGCTCAATGCCATAGAAAGTGGCAAGGAAGACAATAAGCTTGGTTCGTTTTTGACAAGATTACCATGGTAGTAATATGAAAAGTGTATTACTTCGGTGATCGAGTAGAAGCTTTACAATTCTGAACATTCCTAAAATTTCCAATTTGAAACAGAGGCAATTTTTTGGAGTTTTGCAGAAACTGTGGTCTCTACGGCTTAGACTTAGCAATAAATGCGTGCACGTAAGGCTAGTATCCCAATTCAGCGGACGATCTTCATGTAATTTATCTTTGTTTTGGACCTTGAAGCATTTTGTACGGTGAGGCGCTTCCACTACAACCGAAGAAACATTCAAAATCATCATCCCCAAAGTCTTTGGCTGGTGTCAGAGTCGCGCGATTTTGCGCGATTTTCGCGATTTGCGCGACGGTCACGGAAATCTCAAGTGCCTCATTCAATACTGCAAGGTGTTCTCTTCCACTTGCTTCATATTCAGTGTTTCAATTGTTCAAATGGGCCACTTGCAATTTTTGTGATCCGCGCGATCTCATGGTCATCCTCATGGTCAGTTCAGAATAGATGCAGTTCCGTCCCTGAACGAATGAGCATTTCAATGAATAATAGACATAACATTAAACGAGTAGAATCACGGGCAGTCTTCCTTCAATTTCCAGGATTAAACAGCACCTCGCAGTATTCATCGGGGCACCTCCAACTCCTGTGACCCATCGCAGGTTTCGCAAAAATCGCGCAAATCGCGAAAATCGCGCAAATCGCGCCAAATCAAATCGCGGACTCTGACCCAAGCTTTCATCGTCGCACAACAGTGCGGTTGGCAAGTTTCGAGGCCAGTCATTACCCACTTAACCATTATTAGCCGTTACCATGATGAAGTTCTCTTAGCTGGATAAGCACCATGGAAGAGCTCGCCCAAATTAGCTGGGAGGATTTTGAAAACGGAGTGGGGTTGAAAATGTGGTGCTACAGAATAAGGGGGCACCTTCAATGCGGTGACTAGTTGAGGCTCTTTGTAGTTTGGAGTAACCTTTGCGACAAGAATGAGACGGGTTGGGTGGGAATTACAGCTGATGGAGGTATCCTAGAAAAAATCCAGTGGTCTCAGTCGCAGGAACTTCGATGGTCAGACGGCGTGGGCGGCATTCTGCTACTGTACTGCTGTATCCAGAATCGCAAATGAATTAGACCGGAAAAGAAAATTGTATTGTGAAATCCGCTCACCTAGGGTTGCCTCTATATCTGTCGAAATGGGCATTCTTAATTTTATCGTAAAGATTTCATTTCTGTCGGAGCGGCTGGTCCAGAGAGTGCCCGCACTTTTCAACGGCCACTGCGTTTATTTTGTTCCGAAAAAAAATTGGGCAATACCAGGGGTTCCTTGTCTCTCTCCGTGGTTCACTCCATACATTCTAAGTCGGAAGGAAAAACCGACGGGTTGGCAATGAATAGAGCCACGAAATAACCGTAACACAACATTTGCGGAAAAAGAATGAGGGTTGAAATTTCGAATGAATTATTAAAGTCGCATTTGTTGTTCAAAAATTAAATGGTACCAGTGATAGTACTATTTCCGGCGCTATCGCGAGATACGGGGGCATCTTCCAGGGTTAAGCCTGGTAAGAGGCAGGAGCTCGGGGAAAATGTAAATTGCTCGTACACCCTGGAGTCTCTCCTCCCTCACCAATGCTCAGTCACGTTTTTTCCCACTCAAAAAGGGGATTTTGACGCGGTTCTCAATGGATTGCCACCACAATGCCTCCCGTATCTTGCAATAGCTCCGTATTTCTTTATAAACGAATCATTTTTCAAATTTAGATGTGATTCGCTCTGTTTGGGGAGGACCAGCTCAAAAGAATGCCATAATGAAGCAAATGAAGGCGATTAGTAACAAGAAATGATTGATCCATGCATGATCTTGTTTGTACAGTTGCTCTCGTAAAAATCCTCAATACGTTGGTGATACAGCTCAAAGAAAGGGGCAGGTTTGACTTAAACTTGTTCCTTTCTATAAGCGTTTACAGGTAGCTCATTTGGTGGTCATGATTAGTCTTGAAATAAGATGTAAAAGGAAAAGGCAACATCTCTAGCGTTCTCATATATTTTAAAGTCCTAGGTGTAAAATTGTGAGTTCCAAATTTTGAACCTCAAGGAGCTTGGGTTAAAGGTACGCAGTATGCACGAAAAAATTCGTTGTAGTACTGTTTAATTCTTCTGTACCAAGCGAGGGTGATAGCTAGAACCTTTCATTTGGATATTGGAGGGCCCGACGTTTCGACCGTTTTCGTCTTCTTCAGAGGCCTGAAGATAGCTCGAAGCTTTTTGATTTTGTAAGCTACCCGACCAAGCATCTCCCACTTCTAGCGTTTCCGACGTCGTGTCGGGAAACACCTTGGAATCAATCTAACGAACTTACCAAGGGTCCACCAGCAATGCGGAGCATTTTGCTCACGCCTCATTTGGCTCATTTAGCACTTGGAGACTATTAGTAGTAGTTATTATAGAACGAGCCGTCCAGATTAGATGTTGCAAGTGAGGGAGCACTTTGCACATTGGTGCAGGGAAATTGAGATCATTTTTGAATTGAGGATTGAGGAATGTTTAGGCGGAACTGTTTTGGGCTACGTTCATACTCGGCGAACTATGTAGTATTCCTGACAGAGATAGGTTCAACTTCATAGGAGAATCTAGGAATTATATCTTTCAGGAATCGCAAAATCACTTTGATAAAGGATAACAAGAAATCGATAGGATTTCTCTTCACAAAACGCTTTAGGGCAGGGGCAATAAGCAACACATATCCTACCTTCACGCAAATTTTCCTATCATCCAGGCGCTGAGATATGAATGCAGCAATCATGTGAGTTCAGAGCGAAAAATCATTGTATCCTTCCGAATTAATGGTCTCCCCACTCTCCCCTTCAGGGGAACATGCTTCCATACCCCAAAAAACCTGATATGAACTTTTCGACCTATTGCTACGCATTTGTCCGCGCACCGTGAGACGTACTTTTGACAGACATTCGCTGAAAGCCATCAAAGAGAAACTGCTATGTGTTGGTGCCGATAATTTCAACTTTTACCGACACAATATCATGTTCTTCGTATGACCTCAGTTTTTCGATTTCGTGAATGATGTCCATCCTATGTCCACTTCTAATCAGTCTCCACTCCTACCTTAGCGTTTCATGTAAGATTTCTGCCTTATATTTTCATCGTCATTATCACATGATGATTGTACATGTAACATGTGCTGCGTATTTTCTGATGAGTTTGTTTTGGTAGAATGTGGCTCCGGGGTGGGGGGGGGGGGAAGCAGCCCGTAACATTGCGTCAGATTCACGGAAACGCTCAGTTTCAGGATTAAGCTATAGGGGATAAGAGGAACTCCGAGTTTGCGCAAGCAATTCTTTTTTTTCTGCGGAATTCGTCCCCTTCAGTTAGGCTTAATCCTATGGCTTTTTTACAGACTGCACCCCCCCCCCCCCGAGCCATGCGCCGTATTTTTCTCCCGGGAAAGTTGCGTTTAATTGCTGGTAGTGATTGTGATCTTCTTCAACGGCAGTATATGAATAGTCTTCCCTGTTTTGTATGATGCACCCTAGAGCATGCCAATTAAAATAAAGGTGTTTTGTAGTGCGTCATATTTCGTGCTCCGCCAGATTTAGTCGATCATAATAAAAGAGCAATTGATATAGTTAAGCAAGAAAACGAACGCACAGATGAGCTACGAAGAACGGCTATGGAATGGTGCGAAAGAAAGGGTGTTACACCTACAAAATTGGGTGTGGCGAGGATTTGAAGATGAACAGGCCCAAGGACATTGGCAGCCAAAAAAGGATAACCACAAAAGCACAGGAGTAGCTGGAAGACAAGTGTATTGCTGTATGTACCAGCCATAGTGAACAGTCGAAAACAGAGCTGTATTTCAACTTTATTCGAAGAAATGCTTTTTGATAGTACATTATCAACTGTAGCTCACTTTGATTTGGACTAGGAAGTTCCGCACTGAAAATAATCATTCTTATCAACACAGAGGTGATGACCTTACTTGCCTTGTTTCGATTTGCAATCTGTAGGTTTGTTTGTCCCTTGAATTCATGGTGAAAGCTCCTATGCAATATGTATGTGTGCTATGGAACC